TGTTAGAAATACAAAAGAGAAGAAGAAACAGAGAATATCTAACTCTCTAAAATTGGACATTCTTTTCTGCTACATTACAATTGGTATTCTCTTGCTGCAAAATGTTCTCCGACAGCTATAAATATGAACTATCGTCTTTGACCAATTCTATGTGCATCTACCAATTAACTCGCTCATTTGGAGGGAGTGTAAAAATATTATCCCACTTGGCTACGAAAAGGTAACAGTGGATGAATAAAGAGTGCTATAATTGAATATATATTCGTCGGCAGTATGCACCTATCACCAGGGTTCGAACCCAGGGCCTTCCGGTCACAAGTCAAGCTCGTAGGCCGACAGCCACTGGGACTGCACTGAATGGCCAGCCCATGAATTTTAACTTCTACCAATTCGTGATTTTAGCATAACCACCAGCCAATGTCATCGCTGGCGAGTATTTGTCCTCACTCCCTACCGGATGGACCCTACTGGTTCGAACCCCGCTGGGCGCGTACTGACGACGAGTCCCAAACTGGGACGAAACAAATGTCAAGAACTCCTTGCTTTCTTTCAATGATTCTCTCTAACTGATATCAATCCGTGGTCAAACTTGAATAAAAAAATGAATCAAATCCCTCCAAACTAACTTTGAAAATAACACTATTCTTCACTACAGATTCTTTCAAAATCAGTTAAGCTTTATTCATAATGTTACTAGTATTGGTAATTCATAAATCATATCAGAGAATAATTATATCTCATAAAAGTATACAAAGATACTGCATTAGTTATTGTTGACTTTCTGAGAAGAATTTATTGCTTACAGTCATATCAAGACAAGTCATACAACTTTCAGATTTTGTTTACATCATTCGACTATTTCTTATCTTTTGATTGCAATATTCTCTATATCTCTGGTGTCAACGCTGCTTCATTCCTGCTGTATCTAGTCAGATGGAGATTCACCAATCACCTTCATGTACCACCCACTTATATCATTTTTCAGAACTTTAACTCTGTCCTACCCCATAGTGCGTCTTTTTTCCTCTAAGTTATCCACAATCTTCCTGGGATCATCAATCATTCTACACTTAACTAAATTTCAATGTTAACCTGATTGATTTCGATCTATTTGGCTGATTGTATACAATCATTATCAACTTTATAGACTTTGAGAAGGCCTTCGACAGCGTTGACCGCGAAGTAATTTGGAAACTACTCGAGTACTACGGCGTACCCCAAATATTCATCAACCTTTTTCAACAGCTGTACGACAACGGCACATGTCAAGTGATCCACAACGGAAAACTCAGCGAGGCGTTTGGAGTAAACACAGGAGTCAGACAAGGGTGCTTATTATCACCAATGATATTCCTAATTGTGGTGGACTGGATTATGCGTCAGACAGTGGGAAACAAGAGGACAGGGATATCCTGAACCGACGTGAAGAACCTAGAAGACCTGGATTTCGCGCGTGGATGATTTATGTTTGATGTCACACAAAATCGAAGACTTACAAGCGAAAACCGACAAACTGGTCGAAGAAGCAGCAAAGACAGGACTGCAGGTGAACATAGACAAGACGGAGGTTATGAAAATAACCAACCAACAACAACAGCAACATCCAGCGCCAATCACCATCAACGGGAGGGATTTGAAACAGGTTACTTCATTCACTTATCTAGGGAGCATTGTCTCAACTACAGGAGGAACGGACGAGGATGTCAAATCGAGAATCGGGAAGGCGAGAAACACATTCATCAACCTGAAACCAATCTGGAAATCTTCGTCACTCAGCATCAACAACAAAATTCGGATTTTCAATACAAACGTCAAGTCAGTCAGTTCTTCTATACGGATCAGAAACTTGGCGGCGGGTCACCAAGAATATTTCCAACAGGTTGCAAACCTTTATCAACAACTGTCTTCGTTCTATACTGAAGATCAGATGGCCGGAAAGAATCACCAACAAGAAACTATGGGAACAAACAAAACAAGAATCAATCGCCCAACAAATATGCAGGAGAAAGTGGAGATGGATTGGACACTCGCTGAGGAGGCCGTTGGGTGACATCGCGCGTCAGGCCAAAGCTCGAGTGGAACCCGAAAGGGAAGCGGCGAGTGGGACGTCCAAGGGTGACATGGAGGAGATCGTGTGAAGAGGAGTTGAAACAGTATGGATTAACATGGATGCAGGTGAAAAGTACAGCAGAAGACAGAAGCAAGTGGAGACGTGCAGTTGAAGCCCTATGTTCCACTAGGAACCCAAGGGAACAATAATAATAATAATAATACAATCATTATAAGGTATTTTGTAGATTAAACTATCTTATCTAATTATATCCTCGCAACTTTCTTCCCGGTTGTGTAGCGATGAGTGAGTTGATAGGTTTAAATGTCACCCCTTAATTTCCCTGTAGCTTTACTATGAATCACATATACTATATCATTTCAGATATCTCTTCTTTGTATGATCAAATTGTCAATGTCTTCAATCCCCCCATAAATCCTTTCACAATAGTATGCATGTGAAGTTTAATTCAGATCCAGTACACACTATTAAAAAAAAAAATATAGTTTAGAAAAAAAAAGATTTCTAACCAACCTTTTACTTGAGTATACACTCAAGCTGTTTCGATATAATAATCAATTGAAATATATAATAGGTGATATATATATATATATATATATATATAACCTGTTATATACGTGTTTTATGATTAACAGTGTTCCAACTATAACAAAAATGACATTCATACGATTATTGCCTTGTTGAATGAGTCAACCTTACACCCAAAAATAGTAACATAGACTTTTAATACGATAACACTCATTTTTAACAACAATTAGTTCCTTTTATGAATTTAGACAAAGAAAAATAAGAAGGCGTAATTTATCTGAATCGTGTGTGTAATGTATATTTGTGCAACACTCATTTTGAACAATCTGATCACACATCGATCGACTTGTCATACGAATATAATACACACATGAAATTAATAAAGTGTTAAGAGGTGAGAAAATAAACTTAGATCTAGTTAAAATGGCGTATTTGAAGGTCAAAATAACAATGAAGATCATCACTAAACCAACCAAATAACAGAGGTAATAGTAGTACATCTACCCTGGTTGGTATCAAAACAAAGTTTACCAAGGAAGGTAGGTTTAGTGTAATGATGAATTGTTTTTTAAGCAAATAATTGCTAGGGTTTCTTTCCAAAAACTTTAGGATACGCCCCAAACAAGTAGTCCTATAGATAGGTTTAATTAAAAGACCTGTAAACATCAATTTTATGTCCTGTTTCTATAATATGTTTCGCAACAGAGGAAGGAGCTAGGTCGTCTGGGTTCTGTGGATTCAATTTGCTCCTGTAGCGATTTAGGAATATGCTCTGAAGCCAGTTCTTACTTGCAGAGATCGATGAGTCCTCTCTATATATGAGTGTGTGTGTGCCACACGTTCATTCAAATTGGTTAATACAATGGGAAGTGACATCATTTTTCGAAAGCTCCAAGGGTTTAGATAGATATATCGGCTTCACATTCTCAATTATTATAATCTCAGCTGTATAAAGTCTTTTTAACCATAGCGTTCAATCGTTGTCGAATTACCAACATGCTATGATCACCCATATATAGGGTAGCTTGATATATACGTCTTTCTTAGTGGCGAGTTGGACAGTAGGTCTTGGTGTTCCACTGACTACTACTTTATATCTCCTAATGAACTTGTCTGGATAATTAGAATAATTTAACAACTTTATACTTCAGATGTGTTAAATAATCTGCAAAACAATATCTTACCTTTGTACTAATATAATATACTAGTGCACACAAAGATGAGCTGATTCAAAGACCCATTATAGCTACTGATGTGTGGTGACTTTTCTCAATGTAGGCAAATAAAACACCCATTAGATTACAATGACAACGCTTTAAATTTCAGCACTGATTGATATCAGTTAGAGAACTATTTAAAAACAGAGAGTACTGGATAGCTGTCTCATTCTAGCTTCTGACTCTTCAGTAGCATGTACCCACGAACCTCAGGACTTTAGGTTATGAGGTAAGCTCACTGACTATTCAGACACTGGTAACAAATTCAAGAATTTCAATTTCTACGAATTTGCGATACGTACTGCCACTGTATACTGCTGAGCACCAAATCTGATGCTCACTATTGACTGACTACAGAAAGAAGTTGCCTGGAGTTCTAATGAGAAGTTGTGACCTATTGCGGTTCATCCAATTTGGTGTTAGGACAAATATTCGCCGATGACATTGGCTGGTGCTGAAAATCGCAACTGACAGAAGTTAGAATTCACGGGCCATTGGATTCCTCCTTCCTAATGGCTGAAAGGTCAATGAGATCGCCTCGTAACCTAAAAGTTCTGGGTACGTACCGACGAAGAGTCAGAAACAATTGTCCAGTACTCCCTTTGTTTTGGATGGTTATCTAAATGATATGAATCTTTAGTCAAATTCCTACAATCTAACACTTGACAGTAACAATTTGCCAAACTAGGACTATGTCAGATAGTCCCATAAATCAATTAACAACAGATTTCTCACCTTCTAATTCAGTATGATTAGTATTGATAGAAAACTTAGCAATTGAGGTGATGTGATAATAAACAAGCCAGTAACATATCACTGATTCACATAACAACTGGCTACCATACGCGATGAATGATAATCTAGTTAGCAGTTGAGTCCCTTAGCGCAAGCTAGTCGAGCTTTTCGACAACTTCAAGCGGTTCACCTGAAACGGTGAGTGCAGGTACAGGCTCTTGTTAATCTTGCAACCTTACTTTGCACTTACACAGAGCAAAGCACATACCATATCTACAGACACTGATCACCAACTACAGATTAAGTAAAATTTGGGCGGCCAGCATGCTATCGAACACAGTAAGGCGATAGTCATCTGCATATTCAAGGTCGAAGTTTTTCTCCAGGAAGCAGACATACACCATTACACAACCATAAATAACCACACAAAAAGGAAAGAAAATCAAATGTTTGTCTTTCTAAAAGAGATAATATTTCGTTTCTTTTGAATAATGACACATATGACTACAATACAAGTGTAGAAATAAACAAAGAACACACCACTGTTCTGAACGTAAGGCTATATATATATATATATATATCGTTTATACTCCCATTTCAACGCAGCAATCAATCGGTCTTCCAATTCACAAGCATCTGAATATATACGTTTATATATAATATATATATGTATATAATTTTTAACAACAATAGGGGAATATAACAATAAAAAGGAAGAAGGTAAACAAATCACAAAGATAGACTTAAAAGAAAGAAGAATTATAATAATAATTGATGATGTCATATTGATGAAAACAATCTTACTCGATTTGTCAATTCTGAAGTTGCTGGTGAACCAGTAAAACACACACTCACACACACACAAATGAGATGATGTGAATAATCTAGATAAAAAAACAAGAAAAATCTCTAGTACAAAAGATGAAGAAAAAGAAAGTCAAGTTCATAGAAAAGGCAAGACAAGGATAAATTAGGAAAGGACTGACTCCTTCCCTCTCTGTCTGTCTCTCTCTCTCTACACACACCAAACGACATACATGCTCTGAGACATACTCTCTACAAAGCAGAACAGGATAAGAAAAAAAGGGGGGAAAGAATATGAGACGAATAAACTATACAGCACTGTGCTGACAAATGTTATAGGCTGAATATTGTTCAGAAGTGTGTTGCTGCTGTCATTTCACGTACACACACACACACGCACGTGTGTGCTGAAAAGAAACAAAAAAGTAAGAACAAGTTTATAGACTGGTGATGTGTGGTAGGATTTAAAATAAAAGAATAATCAAAAACAAAGGAAATAAAATAGAGACGATTGGCTTGGGGGGGGGCAAGGAGGGAGGAGGACGACGAGGTGAGGGACTAGGAATTGGAAGAACTTGAACCATTTACATTCGGAGGTGGATCTTCAAAACGTGATGTATCATGTCCAGCTAAATCTTTTCGACAAACTGGACAAGTTCCGTGCTAAATGAAAAAAAAATAAGTAAAAAAGAAATACGTTTCAGGATATTTTAAAAAAATACATTTTATAGTGAGTACAAGAATGAAGAATAAATGAAATGAATTATCAGATTTGTTTATACGAGGAATGAACTCTTAACAATAATCTCATTATGTAAACAAACAGCACAACAGAACGTTTATTACGAAAAATCAACACGTATTTATAGATTTTGATGTACATTATTGTAGGTTAATGTTAGTAGAAAATACAGTCTGTTGATTGGTTGTTTTCTCACACAAAGTTAACCTTGCATCTCTTGTGGCTGTGTCAGGTTCATCTATTGGTTAACTGTATCCGCCTGTCCATCTTGACCTTTGACCTCAATTACTGTCAACCAATTTGGCTAGCAACCATCTCTCACCACAACATGACTAATATTTGATACATAAACATTAACCTCAATTGCTGTCAACCAATTGGCTAGTAGACAGCTCTCACCACAATTATACACAGCCTTAATGTAGGATATTAATGTTACTCGAAAACAACTTGTAATTCCAAACAGCTGGCAATGAGCCTCATCTATTGTGTGTATGTGTCTGTGAGAGGGCTAGTGATACTACCAGGGGGCTGCGCCTAAATCTTCGTTTGCGTGGAGTGGGATTCGGACTCGTGACGCATTGTTTGGCGGTGGTCAGGTGCCTAGACCAATGAGTGACACAGCACGAAGGTGAATCTTATATGCCTGTTATTCAGTAAATAATCCCTTGACATAAAAATGAGTAGATGTTAGCGAATTTGGATTTTGAGAAAGAACATCACTATAACTTAACATTCTTAAATAGGATGACATACAAGGTATTAGGTGTTCCGCCTCCAGGTAATATTAAATAAATAACAACAAGACATGAAATGATTCCACACAACAGCAAAAAATCATAAACCAATGTCATATTCCCAATTTTAAACAGGACAGGCTTTTTTAGCAATGTACAGTGCTCTCCTATGTAAAAGGATTCATGTCCCTACCAACTGAAATTGGAGTATTTTCAATTGGTAGTAAACTGTTGCTAGTGGAGTTAAAACCGTATACACCATGCGATCAAGTAAAATGGTGGTTGAAGTTCAAGGGATGTATCCTCTTTTACGGTAACGACAGAAGACAAGGGCCAGGCAACAGATAGTTTATTGAGAAAAAATGAAGAGATACTAATAGATTTTTATGTACATTATTATTAGCGTTATTGCTAACCGAGAAGCAACATCATCTGATTGCTTGTTTTCTCAATAGAAGTTATTTGTCATCTCTCTTTGTTGCCGTTTCTTAGACAGTCCGTTGATGTATCTGCGAATCGTATCCACCCACGCAAAGTCTTCTGTGATTGGTTGTTGAGTTAGTCTTCGTTCTTGTTTTTTTTCTCATGACCAAGATAAGGGACGTAAACATTGACGTCAGTTGTTGTCTACAATTTTGTTTTGCAGACAGCTCTCACCACACTACCATTATCTAACTACACCAATACATACATAGATAGTGCACTAAGATATAAATTGCATCTCAGATCAGTAGATGATTGATACTCTCTAGCTGTTCATAATAGTCATAAGAAAAGTAGGGGAAATTAAAGAATAGACACCCCCCCATTGGACGCGAAAGTATCAATGACGTTGAATGCAATTAACCATCTTCATCACATGAATCGACCTCTTTCTTTATTCCTTTACGGTTCCCAGTGGAACATAGGGCTTCAAGCTAGAGGCCTGAAGTTTCTGTAGCAGTGTTTATTTTACAGGATGGGGTTGCTAGCCTCATGCCCAACCTTTCCTATTTACCAGTCTTATTACTGGCTTAGCGAGGTAAAGGAGTGCACCGGTCGGGGATTGAACCCCGGACCATATGCATGGTTGGCGAGCGTCCTAACCGTTATACCACCGACGCGTTTTACACCTCTACATAAGTCAAATGCCTCCCTAAGCGGACCTTTGTGTGTTAAGGTTTATGAAAACTAAGTATTCCAGCATTGATTTCATGCAGGGCTATATGAGGAAGTGGAATTCGTTCTTCTGGACGTAATATAACTAACTACAGAACAGAACACCCGAGTAGAGCTATTGATGGCCGTGTATTCAGTTGTACCAAGTGAGCAAACAAGCTAGTGTCATGGATAGTAATTTGATGATTATATTATATTATATCGTAGCAATATTTGTTGCTAGATAGCTAGGGCTACCACTAAGTCAAATTTAGTACTTGTGCTGGGACGGAGAATTTTCATGTATTGACAGTCCTGCTGTGGTATCAGCACAGCAGACATATTGCATAACAGAAAATGTAACTGCATTATTAGGAGGAGACCAGTGTAGCGGTGCACAACGATGAAACCTTCCCAATAAAAACGTAAATACAACTGAGATTGTCTCAGAACAAATAATGTATAGGTACTTGTATTAGACGACGGAAAGGATTTATTGAAAGAATATTGAACAGGAAATAAACGACTTTAATTCCCTATGATAAAAACAGATTGATGTAACCAACATCCATAATTCACACTGATGATAAATGGGGTGAGGGATAACGGCTTATCGTCACATTCATGGTTATATTTATCACGAAGTCAATCATTCTATGGATTTCGTACATTCCACCACTGGTACTCTCATATGAGTTCAACAGAGGGATTTTAAGGAAAATTAAAAAAACGGGATAAGAACAATAAACACGTCTTAGGTTGATATCGGAAGAAAATATTTAAAATGTTGCAAGTGTACATTCACACTTAATTCTACATTCTCATTAAAAGTCGAGAGATGGAGAGAAACAGCAGCAAAACACTGTGTGTGTAATAGTATTTCGTGCCACTCATTTGTTTGTTGCAAGCTATTTTGCGTTGTATAGACTATACTTAATGTATGGCGTCTTGAAGGAGAAATAAGGGTGGAGAAGGCCTTATACTAGAAACTCCTACTTCATATATAGGTCAAGTAATTAAACCCAATGAATTGCACACCACCCAAAAAACAAGAGGAACTCCGTGGACAAATGAGACGATGACATAACACACAATGTGGGGAGAATAATAGCCCCTCATATCTTAGTAGACAGACATATAAGTACAAGTTAGAAGATGACTGGAGGCAATCAACAGTAAGTCTTGAGAACTTAGGTATCATGCTTCTTAGCACCCCATATAGCAAGGCACATATCTGCACAATCCCGAGGGAACTGTGATGTCCCCTAAGAGATATTTGAACCTGCATCAATGAGTACTGAAGCAGTCGATAGCACATCAAAAACTTTCATGAAATAAGATGCACGGTGTGACTAATTACTTCAAGTCATTTCATTCCACAAGTCTTCTGTTTAGCTTTACGAATTTCACCAAATTAGAAAACATATCACATTAATATTACAAAACGATTTTTTAGTCCTTCATGAACGTTACGGACAAGTATGTCACTTCTTTGTGAAGCAAAATACATATATTCATGCTGCAGTCAACGAATGCGATCACTAACCACTTCTAGTACAAAATTGGTTGAAACCAAGTGGTGGGAAACTCTGAACCTGAGTTTTGTATTTACTAGCACTCATCAATCAGAGGGAGGTATATTTGTAATACAGAGGGGGAACTGATGTTTCCAATGAGGTTCACACTGGCGTCACCCTGTGCTGCGGTCAGAGATGAGACCAGTGAGTTATTGTGGATGTTTATGATTATTTCGCCAATTAGATTTCCAGAGAGTTAACATTATTCAAACTGGACGAAATGGCAGACAGTCTGCAATGAATACGCAGAATAGCCTTCAATTGCTTTACAGTTGTATTTATATATACAAGAACATAAAACGGATTTTTACTGACCAATGGGAGATGAGTTACATCATTAAGAGTGACCTTAAAGTCATTTTTAGAGGCAGAAAACATGTGATAATCAGCAACATAATGGGATGAAATATGCTAAATTATGGGACCTAATTATCACTTACAGGAGAATAAAAGTAAGTGTTAAAGCAAAAAATTTGGTAAGGCGAAATTGTTACTAGGCAACAAATAAATTGGGAAATATTAAAAAGATGGAGAAAAAGACAAAAAGCACGAGAATCATGGTAAGAGAGGAAACAGTGAATCAGCTGTTAAAACTAGAATCCAACAAGCAAAGGGGCTAAAGACTACGGTATACTTAGAGGTTGAACAAATCTTTCTTCTTCTACAGAGAATTCCTCTTGAAGTGGCGAAGTGACAACGCTTGCTGCAAATTTCAGGATCTTTCCTTTCTTACTACTCGAGATCACTTTTCGTATAATTGTAAAGGGAGGGAACCTCACACACTTGTACGTCTAGGATTCGCCGTATAATATCGAGAATTCGTCTCGTGATTGGCTTATACTATGCTTTGTGCAACCCATATTAACAGCTCCACGGCAGAAAGCAAACTTTTAACACAGACGGAAATGGCACAAAAGTGTAAATTGTCTTTTACACAATTATAAATTTACTTGCCAGCTGAAGATGATTTAGAGGTCACTAGAAGAGAATGCTTTCTTTTCCTCAGCGCTTCTTTACAATCCCCCCTACAGTAATATGGCCTTCAAACTCAAAAACAACCGTCCATCTGGGACTCTATGGATTCATTCAGACTGTTCCTTGATTTTAATGTTTCTCGATGAACCGTTTGTGTATGAACAACTGTTGAAATCTTACTTCTTGTTCAGCATCAACTACATCGTTAATACAGATTCTTCTGATTCCTGGGGGAATAGATGATTGAATTTTTCGGCAACAGTAAAGAATAGATACACTATAGACTGACAACCCTGAACCAACTAATCATATTCTTCTGGGTAGAAAGTGGCATTTATGCTGGCTGAATTCAACATAGAACTTGGCACCGAAGTGCAGCAGTTCCAGTTGCCACGTTCCAAATAGCACACAAAGGTAGACAAGAAAATGAGCGATGAAGAGAATCAATCGAGTTTTGACAAGTATAAGAGTGAAACAGAATGAGTAATGGTAGAAAGGAATATGAAAGATTACAGAGACTGAATACATCTGCGTAAGCCATTGACAACGATTTTGAGCCATGTCACCTATTGTCTCCAGCCATTGATTCTTAGAGTCCCGAGGGCCCCAACCCGGAAGTCTGCATCTCCCTACCTGACTCAGTTTAACTGTCAGGGATTTCATGGATTGATGAGGCCATGTTTTTGTTTGGCCACCACTTACTCTTTTCCAACCTTCCCCCTATATCAGCTAGTAATACCCGTCGGGGGAGGCGATGGTTAGGCATGCGCAGCACGTGACCTAGCCATCTCAATCTATGTAACTTTATAGCCTCTCCGATTGATTTCCCCTCTTTGCCCAACACTCTACGCCTAAGTGGCATTTATAGTATAAAAAAGGATATATATATATATATATATATATATATACGATTATAGGATCCACACTAATTCCGATGAATGATTGAATTTATGGCAAATATAACCTAGTGATAATAGTCACACCTTTCAGCATTTAAAATGGATACTGTGCATAATCTTCATTGTAAGTTTCACACTAGCCATGACCCTACCTTAACACTACCCTCAAACCTAGCTCTAAATCAGGGTGGAGCTTGCAACGAAGAATATACATAGCATCCGCTTTTAATGTTCGGCAACCTGATTGTTTGATTTAAGGTCATTTGGCTATGGTAGCTCCTCTCTACTCTTGCCAATTTTTCTTCCCACTAAAAAGGGCTATATGTATAGGATGGTGATGATATCTAAAAAGCAATGAAGGGGTATTATTTATTATCCGATCAAACTTCACATCAACAATACTAGAACATAGTCGAGACTTCACTCCTTGGATTGTACTTCCACAATTCGTGTGCGACTGCGGAAATTCCTCCCCCCAGGTCGAAGTCGATGCTTGACTTAAGTAACCACTTGCAAAACGTTTGACATAAAGTGTGATGCACAAGTTAACAGAACAGAATCAACAGCTGGATTCTGGTCTTTATCGATGTCGAAAACAGAGATATCTTGATAACAAAGGTAAACACGATATAAAAGTTGCGCGTATTGCTTTTTTCCTTCTGCTGGGCTTGTGAGTAACACACGTTCTATTTACTCACTTACTTACTCGTTTCAGTATCCTACTTAAGCCTCTATTAAAAAAATATCTGACACTTTCGTTGGCACTGTCTATTAGGTCTTGTTAGTCCTCTTCAATAGTTATGTTCTACTATAACAACAATAGTAAACTCTAATACAGTATATCAACCACAAAAATACTTTAACCCTTTTTACTAGATATACAACCAACCAGATTAAGGTGATAGGCAGACGGGCTTTAGCAAATTATGACTTGAATAGCAGTCGAATTGTATCCACAAGTCAAGTTCAAAGTAATCAAAGGGAAAATGAAGCAATACATTCAGCCACTGGGATCCGATTCAATGGCCTATGAATTCTAACTACTACCAATTCGTGATGCATTTAGCGCGACCACCAATCAATGTCATCGACGGGAACTCCATCCTCACTCCCGACTGGATGGACCCCTTCGCAATAGAACTCCTGTAGCCAGTCGTCTCTAGCGCACATCAGATCGATTTTCAAGAATTAGTTTGTAGGGATTCTGTTTGTCTCGAACTGATATCAATCCGTGGTCTAAGCTGTAACAAACAGAATCCCTACAAACTAATTCTTGAAAGCAATACAATCCGAAATCACAGAAACACTCAGAAAGAAAGAGATAACAATAAAGCATAAAGGAATGAGTGGTATTACAATTAACATGATAAACACTTGTGCCACTGCGATCGGTTTGACAACAAAAGGTTCATACAGTCATGAAGGGCTTTAAGCTACCACCTAACATACATTCCTCTTTAAGATTTTAAACTACAATGAGTGATTTTGTTGACTAAGAGCATGTTCTGTTTTCGCCGCCTGACAAGTGCCGATGGCAACGAAACCTTGATCCACAGCATCCTATCGATTACTATCGAGCTAACATAATACACCCAGATGGGTGACAGATAAACCTGTGTAACATATGATACAATTACACCAAATGCTAGTTTATAAACCCCTGTTTTATCTAAAACTGTTTATTCGATGATTTCACAAAAAAAAAACATAACATTGCAAGTTAAAGTTTAACGATAATATAGGGAGGAGCCAAGCGCTATATTATACATCCGAAGTTTAATACGACATCAGATGAAGCCGTATAATAAGTTCCCACGGTGTGTGTATGGTTTTTAACAAATTACACAAACCAGGAATAGATTAATAAAGTTGTTTTTTTTCAAAAATTAAGCCATGCCTTTGTAAGGATTTACAAAATACCACTTACCTGTTTTAACCATGTTGTAACACATGTTTGATGATAAATATGACTGCATGGTAGTTTGATTGTTGATTCTGATTCTTTGAAATCATCAAAGCATATAGAACAGACACCCAGTTTCAATGCTTGTTCTTCAGTCAATACATTCACCGGTAGATCGGCAATAGCTGATTCAGTAGCCGGTGGTGGGCCAACTTGTAATTCATTCATTAATACAGTGATGAATTGATCAAACATAGCTAAATCATTAGGGAAAAAAAGAGACATTGGTGACAACTACTTCGTTTTTAATAGTAAACAATTTTACTATGCACTGAATTTGTTGCATAACTGACTAAGTTTTAGCACAGAACTTTTTACAGAAGGGTAGTAGTTGAAGTTACAACCCTTTAATATTATAGCACACAAGGGTAGAGAAACAGAAAAATTCTAAGGAACTTTAATGAACGGAACTGTACGGAAGACAAAATAATTACATAGGGAAACACGAGGACACTTAATGGATCTGGAAATTTACAAAGAGTGAACACATGTGCACTACTGAGAATATTTTTCAGCCATACCACTAATAGTCTCAAAATCATCGTTTCTCAGCATTCAGAGGAACTCAACCAGCCAGTCACCTACACCTGCCTACGCAGCTCAAACTAGGTATCAACGAGTTTATAGATTGATACCAGGTTCTAAGTTGACTATTTAAAATTTTTTTTATTATAGCTTGACTCCACACCGTTTTTTTTTAATACAAGTATGAAATTTTCAGCATGTGATATAGGTAGCCCAAATTTTGCAGGCCGACCATTGATATCAGGTGTGCGTCGGCAGGGGATCGAACCTCGGACCATGTGCATGGTCGGCGAACGTCCTAACCGCTGTGCCACCGACACAGCTAAAATTGTTCATCGAGGAAGGCAATGGTTCGTCATCCGTAGCACGTGTCTAACCATTACGCCGATGTACTAGGCGGTGAAGACAGCCCAAACCAACAGTCAACGTCTTTATGGAAATTTGTCAACTCAAATGATCAAACACTAACAATTCAATTTATGTATGCAGAATAACAATCTCCACTCGAAAACAACAATACACCCACTTACAAAAGAATATTAAGTATGACTACCTGTACATAGATTGTTAACAAAGCCTAATGTAATTCTTAGGATCTGGAGCTTATCGGATTCTAAATAGGTAAACATATTTGTCCAGCGTTAATAAAATGTAACCACTGCATACCAGATAATTACTATCATTACTGATGACGACTGATTTTTTTTATAACTGTGAGAATCTGAGCAGAATTCATTAAAAAGAATATTCTTTATAGGTTTCCAGGCCGTAGGTGTTACGAACTTCCTGGAATAATAATAAATCTGCTGAAGAAGCTGTGGCTTACACGGCGAAACGTTCAGAAAAATCTTGTTTTGATTTTCTTAACACGCTGACTTTAATTTAAATAATTTAAAAAGAACATTCTTTGTTCACATCCACTTTTAATCTAAGCTATAGGAAATTTTTTAACTCTAATACTATATATACGGATATTGATTAGGAAGTGATAAAATGAAGAGAAAACTTGATTTTAAAATGACTAAATAGATTGATATGAAGAGTTCCAAAAGAATAACTCTATCTGGCTAAATCGTTAAATGATGATAACTGTAATAAGCCATACTAAATGGTCAGTGATGCACAGCGCGAAGTATGTTTTTTTTTCATAACCAACCAAAATGTGAGTTACTTTCAGTCCATATGTGATGACGAATGTACACATAGGCCTTAATCTCGACAATCATTCACCGAAAATTTACAGCCTGTGTCTATCAACCAATTCACTTTAACACGACATAAATTATTTTTAATCAAAATCAGCATTCCCTTCACCATCTCTACATGTTTACCCCTTTCGTTGCTCACCACTGTTAGTAAATAACATTCAAATTCCTTTCTATTTTAGTCTAAGCAGCAGCACATCCGGTTTCCTACGGCTGAATTAGGCCTAACATACTATATTGTGAATGTCAAGTGGAGAGATAATACATCCGCTTACTTAAGGGGGTGATAATGCTTTTCTCTAAGAACCATATAAGTCTACCTACTTGTTTTTGTTAGTGTGTAAAATATAGATTACGATGTAGAAATGTTATTTGAAATTAAATTGAATTGGAAGAAAACTAAGAATGAATGCGTTAAGACATAGCAACAAGCCATGGAGCTTCTGGGGATTGTTTTTTGTTCATGAACGGAAGTGAACATTTCCTTTCGAGTTTTTAACAATGAATAGTTAGGAATTTATGAGAATACAACACTTTGAAAGTGACAAATATCAACGACTTCGAATGCTAGTCTCTATATTGTCTGTCCTTTGTAATATAATTGTGAGTACAGTTCAAGACAAACCTGTCTGTCTATCGATTTATTCTTCAAATGTCTAGGAACCTGACGACAAAACTATATAGTGTATTTCTTGAAAGCGTATAAGTAAAAAATGAACGTATATGTAGATTGAAAAAAACGTGGGAGCACCTCATCATAAGAGACAGAAGACAAAAATGTAAGACCAGGAGTTACTAAGTAGCATTTCAAGATGTCACATTTCGAATAAGTCCACTAGAGTAGATGTCAACAGAAAGAATAGTGAAAGTAAAAACGTTAGCAGCAGTAAAATGCTTCGTAGGACAAAACAAAAGCCTCAGTGAGTTTTTTCCCCAGAACAACCTTTGCCTAGATAACACTGAACGATACCACAGGTGTCAAGTATACGCAATTAATGTAGTCTACAAACACTTGCACAAATGTCAAGTAAAGCGGAGTGAATAGCCCCAAAGTTAACGTCACTGTACGATAGTATGGCGTACGCTTTGACGTGTGCATTGGTTTTAAAAATAGTAAACATCATAATTAAGAATTGAAGCTTGCTTGACTTCACTATTCACTAGCTTCACTGTCTGTTTGTTTCTGACATAGGACTTTGCATCGATGTGCAGCAGTTCAAGTCGCCACACTCCATGTAGCACACAAAGCAAGAGAAAAAAAGTAGAAGAAATGCAAAATAAAGACAGTAGACAGGGATATGAGACAAAGGAATAGTAATAACGAAGAACAATATAGTTCCATTGGAAATTATAAATCACAAGGAGTGGATGCATCTGCACCATTGAGAACGATTTTGAACCATATCACCGACTGTCTCCAGCCATTGGTTCTTACTATCTCGAGCACCCCAACCAGGAAGTCTGCAGCTTCCTACGTGGCTTAAACTAACTGTTGTGGATTTCATTGACTGGTGCCATGTTTTGGTGTGACCACCGCTAGCTCTTTTCCAGCCTGACCCTACGTCATTCAGCTAACATTGTCCGTTGAGGAAGGTGATGGCTAGGCATACGTAACACATGTCATAACCATCTCAGTCGATGTAATTTCACAGCCTCGTCGATTGATTTCCCCTCCTTACCTAGCACTCGGCGCCTAACCTCAATATCGCTCACCCTATTATACCACTTAGCACACACGGGAGATAGAACGCAGGCACCTACGATCAAATACAGCTAATCTTTTCACGTCTTCCGCTCTCAATGGTCAGGTCTCACAGCCATAAAGGAGGACGGAGCAGACTGGTGAGCAGTGCACACGCCCTTTGGTCGATAGTCGGATATCACGTCTACGCCAGAGACGGCGCAAACTGGCATATGCAAAACTAGCCCTCTGTATTCGTGCTGAGATTTCGTCAGACATCAACCCGTTGGGGCTGATGGTACTTCCCAAGTAAGTGAAGTGGTCAACGTGCTCTACCACTTCACTTCCTATTTCTAAGCTAGGAGTCAGTGTAGTCCAGTCCTGTAACATCATCTTGCATTTGGCGGGAGCGAATCGCATGCCAAACATTCGCAGATTGCAGCTCAAGGTGTTCAGAAGACTCTGCATTTTGTCAGCGTCCTCGCCTAGAAGGACTATATCGTCTGCATATTCTAAGTCAACGAGACTATTCCCTGGTAGCAAGTCAGTCCCTGAGTCTCTGAAGTGAGTTATGGTTAAGTCCATTAGTACGTCTATGATGAAGTTGAATAGAAATAGGGATAATGGGCATCCTTGACGGACGCCACTAGTCGTCACCTCTTCAGATGACAATCGCCGTAAGCCCTCACCTGGCTGCAAGAGTACGAGTAGAGTGCCTTGATCAGTGCAATGTATTTTCTCGGCATTCCCTTTACAGCCAAGCATCGCCAGAGAACCTCCCGGTCGACAGAATCGAATACCGCCTTTGGGTCAAGAAATATAATGATTGTTGGACGCCGGTAGGAATGCCTATGTTCTAGAATCTGTCGAAGGGTGAAGATATGATCAATATACCCTCTTTCTGGCCTAAAACCTGCCTGGTTTTCTCGTGTTTGTGCCTCCCGAGCACCATTTAGTCTGCACAGTATTATTGAGCCTAGGATTTTAGTAACTATATTAGTCGAACTAATCTCTCTTTGATTATCACAAGGAGACTTGTCTCCCTTCTTGTATATCGGGATGATCAGTGACTTACACCAACCCGATGGGACTTCCTCTGATTCCCAGACGCTGCCTAGAACCTCAGTTAATGCAGACAGTAAACTGTCTCCACCGTACTTAAATACCTCTGGAGTCATTCCATCAGGTCCTGTTGCTTTGCCTTGCTTCAGATTAGTGACAGCTTAAGTAACCTCAGTTAAGGACGGAGGACCTGTGTCTATATCCCATTCAGGGAGGTGTTGGATGTTCGGCAGGTTAAGTGTGGCTGTGGGCCAATTAAACTGCTCCTCGTAGTGTTCTTTCCAGCGTTCCAGTCGCCTATCCTGGGAGTTAATTATGGTGCCATTTTTCTCCGAGATTGTTCCACTTATCATTTGCCTTTTGCCACCTGTTTGCCTGATAAGCCTGAATAGTTGTCTGGTGTTGCCAATCGCCGATGCCTTTTACATCTCTTTCGCTTTTGTCGCCCACCACTGTTCACGGTCGTTGCGAAGACTTTTTGTTAGTCTTCGTTTAAGTACCTTTAAGTACCTTAAGTACTTTCAAAGTTTGGCGAAAATCGTGGTTCGAGCAAAAGACATGATTAGGGATACAAACAGTAAGGTTACTCACCAAAAGACGGTAGTTCGAAACAGACAGGAAGCAATTGAACAAAGATTAATTTACCATCACTATTAAAGGATTTCACAGTTTGCTTTAGTACACTATTTCAGACTAACAGTAGATTCAGTCTTATCCTAAACAAATCCATGACATGACCGAAACTGCTGGGATTAACCGACCAGCTTATGTTATCGGAAAATGACTCCAATGACGATATTTTTATATAATATTGACACGAAACTTAGAAGTTTTATGAACAGGGGGAAGGGGAAGGCAAAATACCTTCGCAAATCATAAAATGCCTAAAATATAAGGTGAGTAGGTGATAAATTTCCTTAAATATACTTGAGGATAAAATGAGATACTTGTGCTACTGAATCTAATTTTGAACTCTCCAGTATTTAAGAAATTTTTAGATCACGACGTTTACATTTACGTTAAGCAGTTTTTGAAGGCATTATGAAAATGATGCTATACAAACGACTGTCTCAGAGACTAACAAAGTAAACAATGCTCTACATGCTTATGCCTTTAAATGAATCTTACGAACAGAAAACACAGCAGATAGAATACTGGTGCATTTCGGCGCGCATAGAGCTGTTCCAGTTGAAGAACTAACTTGTTAACGAAATAGCACACCTGAGAATACAATGTAAATAGGTTGACATGAATAACCCCAAGTAAACGCTATTTAAGGCAGTAGTGATCCTTCACCAAACCATAAACAGCTCAAAGGCTTGTGATGTTAATATATTAAATATTCCCATAGAAAAGTCTAGAACAACTCATTTAAGCGAACAATATTGTTTTCAATTAGATCTCAGGCTTAACTCTAATATGATATTAACCAAGGATAGTAACACACTATTCAGGAAGTAATTGACATTGTGAAAGATAGAACAGGAGCTTAAGTACATCACATGAACGTTCAAGACTATCACACTTACCTCTGTTGAAAACAAAATTTTGCATCTCTCCAGCCACTGATCCTAGGTTGGCAGGGAATGGTATTCGGAAGGGAGGATCCAGATGAATTCGAGCTGGCATAACGTGACGAGCATCAGAGTCGCGAGTATACACATGTACACGCGTCGACCTTTGATTCGAATTCCTCGCTGAACGGCGTGGTCGCCTAACTATAGTTTCTCGCTCCAACATTTCTTCGTCTGTAGAGCTTCCGTCCTCTCTTGACGTTGTAAGATACCGTACAAAATTATCCGCTAGAGGACCACCCCATAGCTGTCGTATAATCTGAAATGCTTCTAGCTATCACAAATAAAGATTAGACTAATAGATATGTACTTCCGTGGGGTCCGATGTCAAACCACTCCTGAAAACAATTGCAGATATATCAATAACACAAAGTTATTTACCCTGGGCTAACCACCTCAATGAAACCAGAATGACAGGCTGAACATGTATAATCCTAAATAGTCAATAATGGAATGTTAAGACTTTGGGATAACCTGCAAATTTGGAACAACTTCAGTTTCACAAACATGACAATAGTAGCTTTCGCCCGAACTAGCCGCTGCCATCAGTCGTAAATTTTCAAATGACGCGCGGATAAATTTAAATAGTTTTCTCAAACTTGTATTCCCTATTTTGAATATATTACGCTTCCCTTACTCCTATGACATACCTGGCCATAAGTAATTTACCATCACCAATAACTTAAGCCATACCCTTTTTGACGATGGTTAAGAACATTCCAATTCAATATCCAATGAACTTGTGACCTGCATGACCCATGATTTTTCAGATTTCAGATTTATTGGTTGGGGTTAAAAAGCTTGAAGCCTATGTTAGTCCTTTTCTGGTAAATTTCTGTGGTTGTCCAAACCCTTCTTGAATGAATCAGTGGAGGTTACAGACACCACTTCCTCTGGCAGTCAGTTCCAAGAGTTTATGACTCGGTGTGGGAACCAGTACTCGACAGCAATATGATTTCTTCTTTACTTTTGGACTCTCTTGCTATGTCCCCTAAGGTGTTTCGACCTGGGGGGAGAAAAATAGAGAATAAGTCAGGTCCGTAGTCATTATTTAAAATTTTAAACATGGTGATTAAATCTCATCTCTGTCTACGGTTTGACAGGAAGAAGAGATTTAAACCGTCTGGTCTTTCCTCGTATGATAATATTATCATGGTGAGAATCATACGTGTTGTGTTCCTCTGCGTCGGTGGCACAGTGGTTAGGACTCTCACATAATGTGGGCCCGAAAAAAATATGTGAGTTTCCTTTAAGAAAAGGACTAGCTGCCTGGATACAGTTCTCCAGTCTTGACCTCACCAGAGATGTACTTAAGGAGGTAAACATATCTCTGGTGATTCTAGTAAAGGCTCTGAGAAATTCCCACAAGGATCTGAAACTACGTTCAGCCAGCGCGCGACAGTGTGTTGTGGCTTTTAAATCGTGACTTACTATGACACCTAAATCCAAATGAGTTTGAACTGATAGGAGTGCTATTCCCTCTAGTTCATAGGAGCTGATGCTTGTGTGCTCGATGCGCAAGGTTGCACAATCTGCTACATTAATAGGGAGCAAGCATTTTCTGGACCACTCTGACAATTTGTTGAGGTGCTCTTGCAATATGAGCTTACCACTGTTGTTCATCAGCCCTCTCCAAATTTTTAAGTCATCTGCGTATAGGACCGTAGGGGAATTGGTGGGCAGAGATAACTCATTGATATACAAAATAAATAGGAGAGGTCCGACTGCTGTGCCTTGTGGCACTTCGCTACGCACTGATATCCAGGAAGACAGTTTGGAGTTGCCCCTAACCCTCTGCCTCCTATCTATGAGGAATTCCCCATTCCAGTTTAGTTGGAGTTGATCCCTGCCGACGCACACCTGATATCTATGGTCGGCCTGTAAATTTGGGCTACCGATATCCATGCTGAAAATTCCATACTTGTACTGAAAATACGGTGTGGCATCAAGCTGTAATCAAAATTTAAATTTAAAGTTGCTTTTGACACCAAGACTTTCCAGCTTCATGAGTAGTCTTTCGTGGAGACCTTTGTCGAAGGCTTCTGAAGTCTATGAAGATGACGTCAACGGGTCTTCTGCTGTCCCTTGATTTGACCCAGCTTTCTCTTGCATAAGAAGTTTCCTCGGAAGCCATGCTGTACTCTGGATAACAAACTGTTGATTTCCAGATATGCCATGATACTTTTCTTGATGATTCTTTCCGGTGTCTCGATCAAAGTGCTGGTAAGATTAATAGGCCTGTAATTTGAAGGGCTTTGTTTTGATCCTCCTTTGTGGATGGGGTTACTATGGCGCCCTTCCAGTAACTTGGTAACACTCCATTTAGAAGAGATAACTTGAAGATCGTGGTCAGTGTGCCGGCTATGTGAGCCGATAGCTCCTTGAGAAGCCTTGGATGAAGGTTATCAGGACCCATTGATTTCCCTTCTTCTAGTTTCATTAGGCAGTTGAGCACGATGTCTTGGACGACGTCAAAGCACTCTATGCCGTGTTCCTGTGATACACCTAGAGTTGATCTTATGGGAAGTGACGGCTCCTGTGTAAAGACACGGAAGAAATAGTCTGCCATTGCTTCTGTTTTTTCTTGATCTTCTTCGATTGTATCATTGTCAATAGTCAGGTTCCGGACACCATTGGATGTTTTATTCCTGAAGTTCATGTGCGAGAAAATTTTCTTTGCATTTTGAGCCAGATGTGCTTCGAACGTCATCCTTGATTGAAGGGTCTCAGAAATAGTTTTATTCCCAGCAGTGTTGTATAATTTCCTGGTCTCAGGAGTCTCGAGTGTGGCAAACAGGTCCCAAAATTTGTGACTACGTCTGAGTAACTTACGAATCTTTCAGTTTATCCAAGGGGAGAAATGTTTCCGATCCTTTGAGATAGACCGAGGGATGAAAGGTTCAGTTACTTGGGTGTAAAGTCGTTGAAACCGATTACACGCGGTTTCTACTTGGGACTGTGGATTAATGTACCAGTTCACTGGGTTGGCTGCTGAGACGATTGCATTTATATCAGCTTTCCAAACGTTTGCGCGAGCTGGGGTTTTGGCCCTTGCTGCTGTTGCTGTGAACTTGAAAGTAACACAGCATTATCACTTCTTCCTAAAGGAGGAAGATGTTGTATGAGATCCACATTCTCACCGTTTGAGAACACTAGGTCCAGAGTTGAGGGGGAGTGCTGTCAGTCATAGCGCGTGAGCTTAATGACATGTTGGACATGGGATAGCGAAACGCTGGATTCCAGCAGTTTATGATCAAAGGAGTTGTCCGGAGATGGAGTTGTCCAGTCAGCTGTTTGGGCGTTGAAGTCGCCGTATACGAGGCTTCGACATTTCGATGTCCAGGAGCCTAGCTTCTCTATTACGAAGTCATCTGCACCGCAGTCAAGAATGCGGTTTATAGCAATGAGGTCAATATCTTTGCTCATGCATTTAAATATGTAGCACTGAAGCCCACACGATTCACTTTCTTCGGCGAGTGCTTCGATGCCACGCCCGGTTAAGCATTTCTTGAGGTAGGTGACAACGCCACCTCCTTTGTGGCTTAGTCGGTCCACCTTATGCACTTCGAAGTTTGGCAAGTTAACTTCGTTATCAATGACATCTGGTGTGACCTATGTCTTCGTGATGATTTCTGGAGTCTATCATATTGCCCAGCTCAGTCCGTTTGTTCAGCAGGCCGAGGGCGTTTGTATAGCAAACTGTCAATTCAGTTTGGTCCTTCCGTGGCCTACACACGGAGGTTTCGGGATCAATAAACCTCGACTTTTAACAACACGAAAACCCTTAATCTTAAGGTTCTTTTCGCCATTTCGGCGTCGTTCACATAATTCTAGGGCCGCAGACTGTCTTTTGACATGGACGTATGTGCCTGTTCCCTCAAGATTTTGATGGTTACCTAGAATGGCAACCCTCTCTTCTTAGGAGTTTAGTATGACTTTGAGAAGGCGTACAGGCTTTGGGCCGATCCTATATAAGCTGTGTATGGCTATGTCTGATACTTTTTTAGCAGTAGCTTATCTGAAAGGGGCTTGACAAGGTTAGGGTCATGCTCGAACCTGACCTTGGGACCGGAGGCCGGTGATTCTTCCACTTTGTGGAGAATAAGCGACCTGTCAGAGAGATCATGTTTGCTTACTGAGGCTTTCTTCCTCTGAAGTGTAAATGTCTTTCAGTTCATCGTGGACACTGTGTCCATTATGTTGTCCCTATCTCGCTTATTGAGAGAGACTAGACTACAGCATTCATTGGAGTTCTCCTCATTGAATGTAGCTCATTGTATCTGCCTGCTATTTAACGGTTTGGATGAGGCTTGATCTACAAGTCCTAATAAGGAGTAATATTTCAATGGAGCATGAATCACTATACGTTCAGACCACAATTATGATGATGGCAATAACAAAGAAGCAGTTTGGTCCATTTTCCAGCTCTGCTTTATTTTGAAGCGTATTCATTCCGTACAAATTCATGGGAGAGAGCGATATGATTTCGTAAATGTTTCTGTTCTCATACACATTTTGTAAGTGCCGACAACATTCTCACTGCCGTCTTCAGTTTCTTCATGACACTGTTGATTTCGTTAGCGATGATGTCAAAACCAATGGAATATAATTGCCTATACCTGTCGGTTACACCAGAGATATTATCTTGGCAAGTACATAAAATTTTAAACTCTCTTCTTGTAATAATAATAGTATATTCTCATTTTTTACATGAGGGACGCCAGTTTACAGGCATCATCAATATGATAAATTACATATACGGTTAGTAAGCATATTTAATAATAGTAATTTAATAAAATACATTTTTTCCTACCTGTGTAGGACACACCAATTGTACAGGCATGGATAAGTATTATTTAAATTACATAAATTTGGTTCATGGAAAAATTATAAGGTTGCAGTCATTTTGTCTATGGGAACATTATGATAACTAGTCATTCAATGGAACACATCAAGAAATATAGAAATATTGTCTTCGCATTAACAAAAACAACCCAAGTATGTTTTGGATGGATTACAAATACTGGGGAAAAAAATAAAGCTTGAAGTAATTCCTCCATATAACTTTGGTGTGTACACCATCGAGTCTTATTCTTGATTTATATCCAAATTTGATAATAATTTAAAATAAGTAATACACTTGTATACTTTTGTCGGCATTTTCTTCGTAACATCACAAGTGAATAGTACTCAATGTAGACTAATAATAATGACAGTTTATATTTTCTTATAAATGGGTGTTTTCAAGAAATGCAAGCTATTTTTGCAGACAAGATCAGTTATGCTGTAAGTTACAATCGTGAAGTATTATAAATCAATACAACTTTATTGGTATAAAGGTATATCCACAACTGTAATCCAGGTTGCGTCGTGGGGAAAGTTAATGCGCAATTCTTGAGGGAATTGTAAGATATGGGACCAATAATGTTTGCAGATCATTTGTCATTGTAAACGGGCAAATATCTACATTCTTCATTCTCATTCAAAAAGTCAAATGGAAGCTGAAATGGTGAGAGACAACAGAAGACAAACAACAACAACGCAAAAGAAAGCAAGTAGAGTACTTAGGGAGTGATTAATTTGTATATAAACATTTATATTCTGTTTAGTAATTATAGTTATTTTGGTGCACTAACTAACTATTCC